ATTGGCCTTCTGGGCTGCGAGTGCACATTGCTGGCTCATGTCCAGCTTTTCACCCACCAGTCCCCCCAAGTCCTTCTCGGCAGGGCTGCTCTCAATCCCTTCATCCCCCAGCCTGTATTGATACTGGGGACTGCCCCGACCCAGGTGCAGGACCTTGCACTTGGCCTTGTTAATCCTCATGAGGTTCACACAGGCCCACTTCTCGAGCTTGTCCAGGTCCCTCTGGATGGCATCCCGTCCCTCTGGCGTGTTGGCTGCACCACTCAGCTTGGTGTCATCTGCAAACTTGCTGAGGGTGCACTTGATCCCACTGTCTATGGCATTGATGAAGATATTAAACAGTACTGGTCCCAATATGAACTGTGTGTCAGTCTTTCAGTCTTTCATCTCCACAGTGAAGTGACTTACCTAGAATGACACTGTAATTTACAAGCAGGAGTTGAGTTAGAACTAAGATATTCAGAGTTCTACATCAAGGACCACAACCATTTCCTAAAAGTGTGATGTGGGGGTCTTTGAGATAACATTGTGGGATGACCAAAACCCAAGTTCTTCCTAAAACCATTTGGAAATCAGTCTTGGCTAAAACCATATGAAAATCTATTAATCTTCTTAGATATAGTAATTAATGACTATTTAATTTGTGCCGCCTGGTAGCATAAAGGGGTGGGATGCACTGAAAATAAAATCTTCTCACATTCCAGTGAATGTGTGTGTTCTCTTTGTGGGCCAAAAGATTACTTCCTTGTATACACAATTGGTTTTCCACAGAAATGTCTGCGCTTATTGTAGAGGGACACAGATCCAAGCAATCTGATTAGCTTTCTGCCAAGTTGTCTATATAAATCATACAGAAAGTGCCTCTCAAAGCTGAAGGCCTGCTGTAGAACAGCTGGGATACATAAAGGAGGAACACTTTTTTTCCAGCTATGTTTTTTTAAGACATTTCTTATCATGACTGCAACAGGGTTTTGAAGAATAGTAACACTGAGTGTGCTTGGAAGGATAGATTTCACAGACATTGGAGGAAGAACATACTGATCTTGAGTGGCTGGTAAAAACATCAGCTGCATTTCCACCTGACTGTAAATAAAGAATTACAGACCAAACAGACAACTGGCATCAGAGCATTCCACTCAGCGAACATTGTGAAGAAATGCATATTACTAGGGATTGATGAAGACATTCATATCCTGTGTGAGCTGATCTGAGCTTTTGCCTGAATCTTGGCTAAAGGCCTAAGCTAATTTTTTTTGAAAAAAGAAAAAGTTCCAATAACAATTCAGATTTCCCTTTTCTTATCTTTGTCTGCTGCATCTTCTGTTTCTTTGACACCCAAGGAAATGATAATGTAATTAAAAAAATCTTATTACTCTGGGACACCTTGTATATATTTTCAGTTTCATGTTATAATACTGGTTTAAGAATGGGATCATGGAGTCCAGGCTCTGGGACCCTGGTTTGAGAGAGAACTCTGATATCCAGTAGTTCTCATGCTGGAATCAATGACCCTGCAGCATGTGCACCACAAAACTGATCTTCTCATAGAGCAAGCCTGAGGCATCGGACTTACTGTCTGCATGCAGAAAACACAGCATTGTATGCTGGTAAAATTAGCCCAAATGCCAATTCAGAAGAGGGCAAGAGGGCACTAAGGTTTGGCAGGTGACCTGTGGTAGTACCTACAGAGGTACAGGGCCTGGGACCTCTTCCACTGGTAAGATGGCTTTGTTCAAACAACTTTGTTAAAGTTTGTGTGATCATTAGCAGTGAATTGGTTTTTTATGGAAGGAAAGATGGTGGCTCAACTTAGAGGTCATGATTTGGACACTGATATCCTGTGTCTGTTGCTGATCTCCCATCCAAGAGACAAGCTATTTTGAAGCTTTTATGTAACAAGTGTTGAGTCCTTTGATGGGAGTTGTGTTACCCATAATGCTTAAATACGTTTTTCGACAGATTTCTTCATTCAGTCATGTTTTCACTTCAATGTATTGGCAGAAATGTCCTTCTCAGCTTCCAGTGGTCCAGGAGGTTGGATATAGCATTGCAGAAAGTGGTGACATGAAGGTCTGTGAAAATACCAATTGCATCTGGAAAGGTATGTTCCAATATAGCAAATATTCTCATGCACACTGAACAGTAAGGTACAGCAGGCTGCATCTATACTGGAAGAGCAAGTGCATCTACCTGTTCCAGCAAGTGTTACAGAATAATATGAAGTGGCTGAGATCTACAGTGCTCGGGGCTGCTTCTAGAGTTCCCACCGCCTGCGAAGAGATAGTATTCTACCTCTTCCAGTGTGGTTAACTGCTAGTATTTAAACTGGCTCTCCTTTGGGCACTATCTGATGCATTGGTGGCCCTAAAACTTTAATTTCCTTTCAGCTTTTCAGTTTCAGAACCCTACAAATAATGTGGGGTTGTGCTGCAGAATGGGCACAGGATATGTATCGTATGGACTGTTGGGTACATGAGCGTGCAGACATGCAGAGATGGTGGGGTCTTGTTGCTCCTACCTGTAGGGAAAGGTAGCTGGAGCAAACTGTTCCTGGCACTGCCTCTGGTTTCTTCTGTGAGGGAGTTGATTAATTTGCTCCAAAAGGTATCCTAGGAATGAATGAGCATAAGGGAGTGTGAATGATCAGGCGATTGGAAAACAGGTAGGATGTGAGGAGCTAACGTGAAATAATACAGATATTCCCAGAGTTATTTGAGTATGAGGCAGTTCATTAAATATCAGACCAATATTTTGTTGTGTTCTGTCTTGGGCAGATGATTTGTTTTGGTGATCTGGCTATTTCTATGTGTGATGTGTTCTTGCCAGTGAAGGCCTGATTCATGCTCATGTAAAAACAGTGAGAAACAGCTTCTTTATGAATCTGGAGTTCAGCTCCTGTAGAAGAAGTTGGGGGCTATGTGATAGATTTATATATTCCTTTGTTGCTCTTCTCCATGCAAATAAGACTCATTTCAGAGTAGTCAATAGTAACAGTATAGGGGTTAGCCACAGTATTTTTTTTTCTTGATGGCAAATGAATACAGGTGTCAGGAATACCAGGTTTTATTCCACCCACCTACTTGTTGATCAAGTGGTCTGGTGTGACAGTACTGACTACTTACCACTTCCTGAGTCTCATTTTGAGAAATGACACAAGCACGCGAAAGCCAAAATCCTACCAAAAGTCAGTGGTATCTGCTAGTACCCCAGCAAAATAACACAAAATGGTGTAATGAACCTTAATTTCCACTAATTAAAAAGCCTGCTACGCACATTCATGTGTCTTTGAAGTACGTGAATAGAGCTGAAAGTGTCATCAGTATGAATTTGCGGTAGGTGAATTACTCATGAGAGAATAGAAATCTGAAATGAGTTACAGAGATGATTTCATCCTTTATATCTCACTGCTCAATACCGGCTACCAATGTTAAAGAAGAAAAACATTTTCAGAGTGTTTCAGAAGTGTTGCCATTCATCCAACTGTTACAATTAAGTGCCTTAGTTTTCCTGGATTATCTTACTTGACTGGGTTCAGAAAGGTTTGGTAAAGTTTTCAAAAAATAACCACAAATCTAGATATTAGAAATATAGATTTTTCTGTACAGAGAAATCTCATTTCAGTGATATTAGACCTTTTTAGGGTTAAAATGCAGTGTTACATGTCCCATTGGGCAGGTATGAGAAGGTTGTTCTTGCGAGCCTGCTTGCTTGTTTAACTCCACAAAATTTTAGATATGGAAGAAATTCACTGTGGCCTGCTTCTTGCTCATCTTCAGTCTTTATTTGGAGAGAGAGGGGGTACCACAGCTGAGAGGGGAAACATTTGTTGTCTGGCAGAAATGTGTTTTGGATTAGGGGAGAAGATTGAGGACAGAGTAGGAAAGGACTGTGTGAAATAAGTTCTCCACAATTTGTCATTGGACTTCCATATAGGATGTTTATATGTGTATTTAAGTTACAGAGTACAAAAACTTTGTCAGTGTTGAATTTTTTTGAACAGAGAAGGTTAGTTGTAGAGGTAAGTAATGTCTTCTGCCCCTGAAACTTTTGATATTCATTCTAAATACTCCTTTCTGGAGAATAATTCAAAAAGGAAGTCAAAACACAGAGAAAAGCGCAGAAATGCGAATCTCCAGCTTTCTGCTCTGCACGTTACAGCAAGATAATTTCTTACACATAAAAATCTAGCATTAAATGATTCATAGTGCTAATGATCTGGCTTTTTTTCGATGATGTTTAGGAGTCCTTGCAGGATAATGTAGACAATGACCACAAAGGATGACTCTTCTGCTTGCTCATACTTGTATTTGCTTTTGTTTCTCGCTTATGTGCTGTCACAAGCTTAGTGTGCTGTGATCAAAGTGCGTGTGCTTTAAAAACCTTTTCCTGTGGTTAGGTATTGATGGGGGAGACCTTTTGGTGTTGAGGGGGTTTTGAAGTGGGAGAGCACATATGAAACTTTCTGCTACTAACAACTTTTGACAGAAAACTAAGGTGAAAAAGACAAAAAACCCCACGTTCTGTATTGAGCTGTGGTACAATTTAAACAAAATATAGTGGACCATATTCTCTGTTCTAGCTGAGTAAATCCACGGAGGTTTGAAAGAAGTGGTAAAAGGTGGCTTTCACCTAGTTTAGTGGTCTAGTGTTTTGAGCCTACCCAGGATAAATTAGACCCTTCTGGCCTCCTCTGGACCATGGGGAGACAAATATAGTGAGAATGTGAAAGGCTTAGGCCTGAGAAAAACTGGTGGTGTTTTGCATTACTGATTTGTGTGTGCTTAATCTTCAAATACAGGATGCCGAGAGGGGACCCAGAATGAGTTTAGAGCTGTTACCATCGTGAAGCCTTCCATACCATTTGAGCCAGAAGTGACTTTCTGCTATAACAACTTTTGACAGAAAACTAAGGTGAAAAAGACAAAAAAACCCCACGTTCTGTATTGAGCTGTGGTACAATTTAAACAAAATATAGTGGACCATATTCTCTGTTCTAGCTGAGTAAATCCACGGAGGTTTGAAAGAAGTGGTAAAAGGTGGCTTTCACCTAGTTTAGTGGTCTAGTGTTTTGAGCCTACCCAGGATAAATTAGACCCTTCTGGCCTCCTCTGGACCATGGGGAGACAAATATAGTGAGAATGTGAAAGGCTTAGGCCTGAGAAAAACTGGTGGTGTTTTGCATTACTGATTTGTGTGTGCTTAATCTTCAAATACAGGATGCCGAGAGGGGACCCAGAATGAGTTTAGAGCTGTTACCATCGTGAAGCCTTCCATACCATTTGAGCCAGAAGTGAGGCTTCATATTACTGGCTTGCGCAATGATTACTGTAAGTTAATTTATCCTGTGTGGTGGTTTTTGCAGAGACTGGGAATTCGTATGTTTCAAGAAAGATAGTGAAGGTGTGTCCCCTTCACATACAATGGAAACTCTGCAGGACATATGCATTATGTCATTTTTCTTATGAGGATCCATCTTTGAAAACTGCCTGTCCCAGGATGGAGACATGACTGATCAAACCCTAGAATCAATACTACCTAACTCTCATGCAGTTTCCGTCAGCTATAGATCTCAATACAACTTTCAAATCAAACCAATATACTTACCTCCACTTAATTAAGTTCAATGTTTCAGCTATCAGCCTTGGATATCTAGCAGCCAGTCAACACAGCAGCAACTTTATTGATCAGACTTTGAGATCTCTTATTTTGGGAGACATCGGTGACATTGTTTATGGTTTGGATGATAGATACCTTCTGAACTAAATTCTCACTTATGTCTTTGGTGGTGCACAGGCAAAAATTAAACATGCACAAGTTACACGTGAACACACATGGATCTCTGGTCTACAGCAGCAAGTACATGTTTTAACACTTCATAAGATCTAACGAACAACTCTGTATGTGCAAGTGTTTGTAGTTGTCCCTGTGGAGGTTTTTTCAACATATCCTTGCAAGTGTTCATGTATATCTATGAACAGGACAAAGGTTTGTTTGTATGATTTACTCTGATTGTGCACAAGGTATGTCCCAAGACTAACAGCACTAGCAGAAGTCTTTGGAAGTGATTTCTTAATACTTATTTCTGGCTGCAACTACCAGGACTGTAGTCAAACAGCTGACTACTACAGTCAGCTGTTCTTCAAAGGGATTTTAGTTACCAAAGTATGTCAGACCTCGGCCTATGGTAACAATCTTCTGTGCTTCAGGGGTCATGCAAAATGACTTTTAAGCTGCCCTAAATGGACAGCTGAGGATTTCCCTTGACATGGGAGAATGTCCTGGGTTGGTATTAAATGTTGTATATCAAAGTCTTCTGGCTACCTGACATAGCAGGCTGTTCTGAGGCTAATCGCTGTAGTGACTTGCTTTGCCAGGATCTGCAAGTGCAATGCACCCAGCATCAGGGGCAGTGGAAACGATATTTCCATCATACACTTGTTGAGCAAGCTCTGGAGGTGAGGAGCAGAATTTCCCTAATTGCTTTCTGCATTTTTTTCCTATCACGTGCATGGTAAATGTTACCATTAACCCAAGGATGTAGGACAGACTGTAGCATATAGACGCTCCTATGTCTTCCTCAATAACAAGAATTACCTTGGAACAAGGGTGTTTTTGGAACTGTGGCTGTTGGTGGAGGAGCCTCATTTCTGGTGGCAGAAATTACAGCGAATGATGTGGCGATCCAAAATGCAGGGTGATAGATTAAAAAATTCTAGTGGAGAGGCTGTAAGTCAGATCCTGCTGTGCAAACATACCAGTTTGTGGAGATTAGCCTTACAAAGCCCTTGGCTTGTTAAGAGATATTCTCCTTCATGTAGGAGGAATACTTGCTAGTAATGGTTGCATAGAAGCATTCTCTTGAAGTTTTTCCATAGCTGTTAAAAAAAAAAAAGCCTCTCTTGCCCAAACCATACTCCCTCTCACCCCATCCTATTACTTACAACTTTTTTGCAGTAATTTTTAGTAGCTTTCTTCTAGATCTAAACATACTGGACTGGAGCCTTGAAAATCTCATTGCTATTGCTGTAGGATCTGCTGCACACATCTGGAATGGAGGAACCTTTCAAGCCATTGAAAGCATTGATTTGAATTCCGGTTCCAAATACATTTCATCTCTGGCTTGGATAAAAGAAGGAACTTGCCTTGCAATTGGCACCAGTGATGGAGAAGTGCAAGTACTAGATAATTTACTTTTTTAATCTTTCTCCATTTTTAGCTAAAGTGGCCACAAGACAATTTGATACTGTTTTTTTTTAAGGAAATAAATGAAAAAGATTGGCTAAACTACAGAAGACCTCTGCTGGAGACAGTATATAGCACTTTCCTGTATCATGCTGCACCTTACTGAACGTCTTAGTGACATCCAGTGTTATCTATATGTAATGGATTCTCTGAAGCCACTAAAAAGCTGATGAGTGAATTAATGACTCAGTTGTCCAGAGGCAATTGGATTTTTTTACCACCAGTAAAAGGAACTCTTTCATTAAATTATTTTACTCAGCACAGGCTATTTTTTCTTGTATCTCTTTTGCTAAGATCACTCTAGTGATCAATGCCTTGAGAACTCAAGCCAAAACTCTGCTTATGGATTCACACACGAGAATTTGACTTCAGTCTGATTATACACATACCTCTCAGCCTGCTGTTGTAGGACAGTCCTATTATCAAAAGATTTTTGTGCAACTTTGGCTGAGATGCTAGATAATATGGGGACCTACCTGTTGCAGTCCTGAGTGAGCAATCTGAAAGTACTGAAGGTCAGTGCTTTCAGGTATGGACTTCCAAATACTGACATGTAAATAAATAGCTTTAAACTCAGAGATGTGCATTCTCTTCAATCCTGTCTGACTTTGGCATCACTCATATAGGTGCCAAAATTTGGAAATACTCCTTCTTGTCTTACTTGTGAAATAAATGAGCTTGAGGTTGTCCATATGTTGAATCAGAACTGGGCAGTGGCTTACCTGCAAACAAATGAAGAGAAAAAAATCTTTTTTCTTTCTGTTGTTAAATTTGTATTTCTTCTTTGTTTTGGATTGGCAGCTGTGGGACATTGAAACCAAAAAGAGGTTGAGAAATATGTTTGGTCATCTGTCTGTAGTTGGAGCTCTGAGCTGGAATCATTATATTCTGAGCAGGTGAGTGGCATTGTATATTCCCAGAAAGAGTCCTGCTGCAAAACGAAATGTCACATTTGTTTTAGCTGTTTTCATTGGCTTTGCTCAGAGGTGATTTACCCTGTCCCTCTACTTATCGGTTGTCTCAGAAATCACATGTAGATTTACTGTATGGCAGGAAAGCAGCCAAAGGGGATTTAGCCTGCCTCTTTAGTCTCTGTTTCATACCTTTCTTCCAGAAAGCTGTCACCACTTGCAGAATTTCACTAGGATGTGGAAGCTGTGGCTCTGGTTTTGTGCAAAGCCTGAGCTTGAAATGGTGGTGTCTCCAGTGGGTCTGGACTCCAGAAATCATAGCCTGCCTGGTGCCAGGGAAAGGGCATGTAGTTTAGACTGCCACTCCATTGATATCAAGACTGCATCTGTCTTTTCAGATGCACAGTGAAATACAGCTGTTAGAGTTGCACACCTCTCTAGCTGTGTATCTACGAGGGAAGGCCAGCTCATTGTTATCCACAACCTGAGGAGGACTGAAGTGGTTGACCTTTGCTTTGCCAATGGTGAATTTTACACTAGCTGGTGAATATTTTATATTTAGGAATCATTTCAATATGGGTACCCAGATGGGAAAGATCAAGTGTACTCTTTTGTGTTTCTTTTCCTCCCACTTTCTGTTTCAGATCTTTGGCTCAGACTTGAAGGGGCTGAGGGGAGACTTGTTTCTGATGGATGCTTCTCTGATTTTAAAATCATGCGATAGTCTTCTGTTTTACTTAAACGCAGAAATAATAGCAAGGGTGGACTGACTTTATTGTTAAACTCAAAATGAGACTAGTATCTCTGGATAGGAACACTAGAGTAGTTTTATTTTGATTTCACAAGATGCTCTGGCTTTTGATTGTATTAGGTCTGCGGGGTGGAGTGAGGTACAAGGATACCAGCTGAACAACCAGTTAATAAAATGCTGTTGCTGGAGTAGATACGCTGGGTGGGTTAAGGTACAAGGATGCAGCTGAAACATCCTGCCAATGCCAAGTGGCATAACCTTATTACAGGAAGCATTAGTTTCAGTTTGCATTTCAGCTTGGCCAAAGGAGTGAAAACAGCAGAAACTTAAATTACAGATCTCTCTGAGTAGAAATTGATGATAAAATTCAGCATGAACCTGTGAACTACAGTTATGGTTGACAGATTAGGTTGAGATTACATTTATTTCTCTTGCTAGGTTTGAAACAAACCAGTTCATTCTAACATTAGGGCAGAGTTAAAATATCTGTATATGTAGAAAAAAAAGACATGGAGTTAATATTCATTGTTACTAAAATAAGAGCAGCATTCTTACAGTAAACTTCACTGTGGACAATTGATACTTTGGGATTACATACTAATTTCTATGGTTAAAAATAGTCCAACAACACATCATCATGAACCTGTAAATGAACTTCAGTACCATAAATTAACCTGTCACAAAAATTTTGTTGGCTTCTCTTTGTCTTTAGCAAAACAGGTGCCATCTTCTGTGTCAAAAGCAAATAGTTCTGATTTCTTTTTATGCGAAGTGGAAAAATGTCCTTTCAGCCAGGATTCTCAGGAGCCCAGTTCCTTCCCACTCATACCACTAGAATTACTGAAAACCTTAATATGGCCAACACTGGCAATTCAATTCTGTTTCTCTTGGTTAGATTCTCTGCTTATTATTTAGTAGGAAAAATCTATATAAATCTTCAGGATACAAATTGTGATGCCTTCGCATATAATGCACATATTCCCATGTATCTTCATAGGTGTTTTCCATAAAGATGTGCTTAATATTCACTGGAGCACTGCATGGTTGGAATCTTTCATGCTTTTGTGAACTTCAGGAGCTTGGCAAGTCCGTAATACAAGCACAATAGAATGATGTTTCTTGCAGTCAGTCAGTTTTGTGTGTGCATTTTTAGAGCTTCCAAATCACTCAACTTGCATCTGAAAAATCTTGGAAGAGCCAGTATGGGAAAGTCTCCAGTCATTATTGCCTTAAATTAATCTATTGCAGTAATGTCAGATAACTGTTTCTCAGATACCCAGAAAGATGCTATTGAACTTGCTGATTTTTTCAGTGTCATCAGAATAGTTGGAAGTGTGAATTTCCAGCAGGAAGCTCTTCTGTTTTGTCGTAGGTTTAATGTAGGTAATATTCTTAGAAAGGCAGGAAAAGAAAATGTGCTGCAAGGTATTTTCAGTATTTTCAGTTCAACTCTACTGTTGATGTGTAAAACCCATATCCAGGAGCTAAGCTGTAACAGTAGCTGTGCTTCCAGGCAGGGTATTTCTTCCTTCCTTTGGTAGACTGATGATACTGGCTGTAGAACCATGCATCCATTTCCTAACAGGCAATTAGTGCAACAGTGTCAAGCTGTGCAGATTTTCTTTAAGCCTGGAAGTGGGAGGGAGAAAGGGGACAAGAGAAGGGACAGAACCAAAGAACACACTGTTACTCACTAGTAAGCCCTTTCCCAGAGCAATGCAGTTTTACACTGCCTCTTTGTTGGGCATGGAGTCATATCTGGCCTTGGCAAAAATCATCTTGCAAAACTATTTTTCATGAAGAGCAGGAAAGAGTTTACATTAAATGGCTTGACAGTTGAACAGGGTGCAGATTAGTGGCATACAATGCAATATATCCTCAGGGAAATGAAAACCGTGAGAGAGAACAGGTATTTTGCCTGGCTTGAACTGAGCAGCTGCTTGACTCCTTTCTGTTGTCAGCCACCTCTACGGTCAGGGTGTGCTTTTGATAGTTGGTTTGTGTTTCCTTTTACTGAAATACTGTTGTTCTGCAGACACATTTTACTCTGATGTGGTTTGCTTCTGAAACCGCTGAAGAAACATCGGTGTGATGAGGTACCTTGCCTTCTTTAGCATTAAACCCATGCTGTCTTTTCTCATCTACAGTGGTTCACGACTAGGATCTATTCATCACCATGATGTTCGGGTTGCTCAGCACCATGTTGGGACTCTTTGCCAAAACAAACAGAGCATTTGCAGCCTGAAATGGTCACTAACCAACCAGTTGCTGGCAAGTGGGTCTAGTGATGGTACATTGAATATCTGGCCTAGTGACCCTGGTGTGAAATTGCAGTCACAGCCACTGAAAACCATACCTCATTCCTCAGCAGTTAAGGTATATGGAGAAGGAATATCTGCTTTTCTATATTTGCTCTCATGAAATCACGTTGTTGATGTGGACAGTTAGGGAATTATTCAAATTATCTCACTGATTTCTATTAGTTTCTTCTCCCCTGACTGTGATGCAGTTAATTTTAAGACCAATTCTCCTCATTCTAAGTCACACTTAAGTTTACTAGGGCTTTGATCAGGAAATCTTACTGAATTAGTAGGCCTTTGTAAATATAATGCCAAATAGAAATAAAATTTACAGCCATCTCCTCGGTTTTGCACAGAAAACTTTGGTGGCACAACACTTACAAGTTAACAAACAACATCTTTCAATTTTTTGAGTTTTGGAAAATTCTCTCTGCTGAAATTATTTTTAATGTGAGGTTTCTTTTGCCTTCCTGCCCATATTTTCATGTCATTGCTGGTAGCAAAGAATCCAAAGTAAGAAACTGGAAATGAGACACTTCAATTCTTCATCTTTATGAAGTCCCAGTCTGTGTGGAAGAGAGAACAGATATCAGCAATAAGAGGCAGGGGAGTCCAGCATTTATAAGCTGTTTATCCTCCCAGAAAAGTCTGAGGCTGGACTGAAGTGCTGGTGCTAAAGGGTCAAAGGAGGTTATTGAAATAGGTGGAATTCAGTTCTTAGTAGCTTTACTTCAGGTAGAGTCTAGGCCTTAAGCATATCCTGGAAATATCTCAGAAGAAGCCAGGTCTCTTGTAAGCCCTGTAAGTCACGTTGCTTAGGCTTCTGTGATGGCTTGGCTTAGGCGGTAAGACACTGTCCTGCTCAGTTCTTCTGGTACTGAGGTGTGAATCTTTAGCCTGTGAACAGTAAGCAGAGAAGCTGGAATTTAATGAGCATATGTGGGACAGTGTAGGCTACTGTGAAGCAATAGCAAAGGAAACAGCATTTGGAGTTTTGGGATTCTATATTGCTGTGTGTGTATGGAGGAAGAGCATGGTGTAGGGTGAAAAAAGCCAAAGATACATTCTGGGTGTTGCAGTTCATTTTTCCAACTAAGCTTTTAAGCAAAATCTACTCTGTTTTTTCAGCTAACCTCCTAGTCTGTTCTGGCATCTGTTTTCTTTTTTTTTAGGCTGTGAACTGGTGTCCTTGGCAGTCCAAAGTCCTTGCTACAGGGGGTGGAATGAAAGATGGGATTTTGCGTGTCTGGGACATAAATCGTGAGAAAATGGTCCAAAGTGCAGCTACAGATTCTCAGGTGAAATGATGAAATGTCTGCATACTTAGGCTGTGCTCTTCTTGTATAGCTGTGCTCATTTGGCAAACTTCCACTGACTTCGAGGGTGGTTCTGCGGTCAGAGGAACTGCAGGATTTTCTCTGGATGTGGAATTGTCCTACATTCGGCACTGCAGTGTGTGGTTGGACTCATGAGTTGTTTCTCATTCACCACTTCTGTCTCCACACATAAGTGATTGAAGAGGAGGTGGTCTCACAGCCAGACACTTCTCATCATCTTTTTCTTATTTGCAATAATAGTTTTGGCCAAAACTCTTGATGTGGAGAGAATGTTGAGGAGGAGGGAAAATTCCCAGAGTGCTGGGGTGAGAAGAGGTGTAAGAGTCAGAGGGCAAACATCCGTCTCTGGAGTTTGAATATTAGGAGACAGAGGAGCAGATTCTCAGCTGGAGTAAAGCACTATAGCTGTTGATTTTCCTGGAACTATTACAACTTAGCTGAGGATGTGTTTGAAGGGCTTTGGTTTTATACTGATAGGCTATTATCATGTTTAGATAGGACAATAAGGCAACTGTACTTCAAAGCATTGTAAGGAATGAAATGATCCTTCTAAATAAGTAAATATTCTGCTGGGACTATTTTCCAGTAGCTTGTTTAAACATTGTAGATAACATTTCAAATCTACTGAATGGTGCATGTTGACTCTTTCTGAAAACTAAAGCAGAATTTTAAATTGCAATAGATTTGTTCCTTGCTCTGGTTACCCAAAACCAGTGAACTGATGACTGGACAAGGCCTTCCTGGAAATCAGATGAAAATATGGAAGTATCCCATGCTTATCAATTCATCAGAATTCTATGGCAAGTATTTCAGTTAATGGTTTGAACTATTTCAGTTAACTATCTGTCTAATCAGTGTGTTTTTGCAAGTGCATACCTTATGCATTTACGTAAAATAGAGTTAAAAGAGCAGCCACCTACACATCCTCCCTCTGCCTACACACATGCATTCATGCACACAATCCTGATGCATGGGATTGTAAAGATTGACTTATTAAGACAATGGTGTAAGTTGCTTCTGTAAAACTCCTTGGTTTTAATGATGGGATTCTCTCCTATAATTTCTAAGGCCATCCCAGGTGCAGGATGTAGATTTCCACTTCTCCCTAAGGCTTACTAGGCGTGGACTGAGTGTGCTAAATGTCAGGTTGCTTCCAATATATTCTAAGCTGATGGCCTTCTACATAACTCGAACTAGATGTGGCTCTTCAATTTTGCAGCTTATCATGGAAGGATACTGAACCAGCTTCCTAATGATGTTCAAAATAATTCTCCATGTGTTATTTAGAGCTGTCTGGGTTTTAATGAATGATTTTGGCTGTGAAGCACTGCAGTGCAGCATGTTTCCCTTGTACCATGCTGACAGCTAGAGGAAAGTGGAGTTTCCTTGCAGCTCTGTCTTGGTCCATGGAGCTGTAGGGCTACACTACACATAAAAGTTGTTCCTTGCTATTAAGCTGTCTTGTTTCTGATGCTTGCTGTCACTCCTATCCATTAAGTTTTACTTGTTTCAGTGTTAACTGAAGTGATCCAATAGAAGCATCTGAAGTTGAAAGAAAAAATAAATTATTTGCACACTGGCTGCATTTTCACAATTATGGTTGTTTTTTCACACTCACTGACAAGATATGGCCAAAGAAGTTTTGGATTTTTAACCTAACAGCTGATATTTACAAATACTTTTTGTACCCTATTGCTACATTTGAAGGCATTTATTAAATTCCTGATTTATTAAACCCCAGCTATACTGGGATGCTGTCCTTGGAACCAATGACTTGCATGGAATCAGGGACTTGGCTTCAACACTAGTCTATAAGAGGAAAGCACAGGAGAGTCAAAACAAAGATGGACGAAAGAGAGAGGGCAGCAGAGACATATGTGGATCTGATTACACATTATCCTTGTGTAATGCTGCTTGTCTGTGCTGCTTTTCCTTCCTTATCCCTACTCATTTATGTATAGCTCTTAAGGTCATGTCCTGTGATACTCTGAGAAATGATCTGGAAAGTGACATGATCATTAGTATTAACTACTGTAGCTTGAGGTTTCTCAAATCTTTGTAAGTCTTGAATATACTATTTGAAATGAAACCTAGATTTACTCTTACCTTTGGGAATAGCATATGGGGTAAAACATTTACCATATAAGTCAAATGCATTGCGTGGTGAAGCTGGAGGGTTACTTATCATCCTGTTTCCTATTCAGTTTACTTGTCTGCAAGAGAAACTAATTTTCATGAACAAAAAGACCAGATAATTGTTACACAGATATAGTCCGGCTTATGAAGACTCTTATTACCTTACTATAAGCAATTGAATGTTGGAAGAAATTGTCAATGTATCAAAATATGTTCAGAAAAAATACTGTGATGGATGATTGTGAGATGTTTCTAAATCAGCTTCAGACACCTGTAACCACATGAGTTTTACACCCAAAGAAATGAACAGATAAATCATAACTGAATCTCATTGTTTAATCCTCCTGCAAAATGCTGAAGACCTCAGCTAACAAGGAAGCACTGTCAGCTACTGTTGAGTACTTTAGTAATTGAGGTTGCCTATTACTGGGCATATTCAGAACACAATAACAGCTGAAAGATAGTAACCTTTTTATAGCATTGAGTCCGTTTTTGAGATATTTCTGATAGAACTATTAGAGTAATTTACTAGAAAAAAAGATTAATTTTGAATGTAAATGCCCTCCCCTTAGACAAGGTGTTGTAGATCAAAGAAAACATACAAGCAAAGAAAATATGTAATTGCTTTGAAAAGTATCTGAATGTGATCTTGAAACAGTGAAATAAAACCCCAGCCCTCTCCACTCAGAAAACATGGAAATGAATAAATTCAATTTTTCTGATTTCTCCCTATCCCTCTTCATGTCTTTTTGACTGAAACTATTAATCAGATTTCAGTCAGTGTTGTGGATAGTTTTGGATGCCTCCAGAGACTACATCTCCAATGCTTCCTTCAAAGTCGTTACAGACACTGAATGGAGACAGTGTAAAGAATTTGCTGAGTTGTAAACTCATGGTCTTAAATATTGACAAAGATCATGTACACGTCAATAACTTGAGAAGGAGCAAAGCCTGAAAATTAATCTCTGCTGAAATAATTCAGTGGTGTTGTCAAAATTCTAGTCACCACGTTTAGGTGGGACACATGTTACTCAGCACCAGGACAGCAGAAATTTGCTTTTAGTCACAGTGGCTCCAGAAGGCCATTGTAGCAGCTTTGCAAAGTTGGGGCAGACTACCCATCTACAACAGTCCTACGGATCTTCATCATGTACCATTGTGATAAGTATCACAGTTTCAGAGGGCTTTACAGTTCCTCACATGTTTATCCTCATAATATTATTTTGAGCTAGAGAAGTGCTATCCCCATTGTGTTCATGGAGAACTCAGGAACAGATGATGGGAGGACATAGGTCACCTATATTCATTCAAGTTGGTCACCCAAGACTTACTTCATACCTTCACACTTCCTTTTAGGATGTGGTTCATCTGGTCTGTTTTAGATGAGATACACTATGTCTCAGAAGTTTCTTTCTTTCCGCTTGGGTGACTAGCTCAGCTATATGATTGTCAGTAACTCACCCAACCAGAGAAGCTAATGGCCAATAACTTAGAGTAAAAAGGTTTCTAATTTCTCATGCTCCTGTGTGCCTAAAAGCCTCATGGGTTTGCTTAGCATTGACATTGTGCTAGACGATACAGGAGAGCAGAGGTAAATACAGGTCTCAACAGTGTCAGTGTAATACCAGACTCTTTCTGTCTTCAGTTCAAATTCAATTGCTGCTACTGAAGGAGATACTTGTATAACCAGATTAATGAGTTTTGTACGTTCTTTGTGCTGCTAGACTGGGGTAGCTTCTGGCCTTCAGTGTCTGGCTCCCAAAGTTTACTACAACTGCAGACAAACTCAATATACAATTCCAATAAATTATTAAGTGGGTTCACTATTAAAAGATGTCCTTAACAGTAATACAACTGGAGACACTATCTCATGATTGTTGGATCAGCTGCAAACTGTCTGCAAGGCATGTGCAGCCAGATGGGAAAGCTCAGCAGTGAGACACATTACCAAACACAGATGGGACAGATGTTGTAAATGCAGTGGAGAATCAAGAGTTCAGGTGCAATGTTCTCTGTTGACAGAAATGTCTTCTCAATGGGGTGCAGTCCTGGCAGTTAAACCCTGGTCCCTAATAATAAAATATTGCCTTCAGCTCTTTCTTAATGTGAAAATATTCTATAGATAATGCTAGGTCCCCACATCCTGTGCAGCGTTTTGAGCTGCTACAGTAAAAGTGGAACAAGCCATGCTGTGGGTGGGGGTGGTGAAAGTGACTGACATAATCAGTGTAGAATTGTGATCTATCTTTGCATTTTTTGTACGTATTTTATTTTACAGGTCACAAAGGGAGAGTCCTGCATATAGCCCTGAGCCCAGATCAGAGCAGGCTCTTTTCTGTTGCGGCTGATGGGATAGCTTGTCTGTGGAAATGCCACGAGTCTGGGGAGAGCAAGCACAGCAGCAAGGCTTTTTCTAATGGTTATCTGAGCTCATTCTTGTGACTTCTTTTCCTTGAAAGCAAGTGATTAAATGTACTTAGCCCATTCAATAATTCAAAATATGTGTGCTCCTTCCAATGGAAACATGGCAAAAGATAGTACAATTTTTTCAACAGAAAGCAATTTTCCCCATCAGTCCATCATGTGAAATGTTAGTAGCTTGTCTTACTCTAAAGGAAAAATATTCTAACTCTGAAGAGTAACACCATATTTATTTTCACTAAACTAGCAAGTATGGATGGAATCCACCTTGTGTCAAGTGCTAGCATAAAGTCTTAGGTCCTACTTTTAGCTATGATTCTTGTAAGTAGTTTTACATCATCTTAGCGTCTCCATTGGGAACCACATGCTAATTCATGTAAATTGCCTTGAATCATTCAAAAGCTAGGATCAGCAGAGAGTAGTCCAGGGGACTGTATTGTTCTCTATGTCACATAGATCATGGTACAGAATATATCTAAATATTTCTAGAGATCTAGGTTAAATATATAACTGTAACTAAATATAAATCATTTCTTGGGAAAGAGAGTAGTCCAGGGGACTGTATTGTTCTCTATGTCACATAGATCATGGTACAGAATATATCTAAATATTTCTAGAGATCTAGGTTAAATATATAACTGTAACTAAATATAAATAATTTCTTGGGAATTCTTTATTGTTTTTGTAGTGGTAATGATAACTAGCTTAATTAGAAAACTGTCTTTATTGGACTTTGAATTGTTTCCTTTCCTTAAACCCACCTACTGTGTTTGACAATGATTGAAAATATAAATAATTGCATAATAATTCTATTATTATTATACATAATTATGTAATCAACTGGTTAATAAGCCAGATGGACATGGTCAAAGAAGCATGATGTTTGGATCAAACACAACAGTTCCTTCTTTCCTTAAGGGTACCAGTTTAATTCTGGGTGTCAGCAAACATGGCAGCTGTCACCCGCTTATGAGTTTTATTTAGTGCTCACAAGGACCAAACCTCTTGGACTTAACAAAAGTTTGCCTGTGTAAGACTTGTACACTGTCAACAGCTAAGTAAGGATGTCAGGATTGGTCTTCACATGCTATTCAGAGGCAACTCAGTAGTGCTATTCAAAACGTGTTCTATCCACAGACATTTTTGGAGCTTTGCTTTCATTATTAGGAATGAAGAGAGGCAGGGGGTAAGGATGCACTCTTGCATTTGTATATTAAAAGCCCTGTGAGCTCAGAAACTCATGTTGTTTGGATTTTTTTTTTTTCTGCTGGAAACTTATTTGGAATATTTCCTGTAGCTGGGGAAGAATGGGAGATTAGGGGAGTAGAGCAGTGTCAGCCTATGGAAAATTAAGCTGTGAGCAAATGCATGAAAAGAGATGGGCAAAGTTAACAGGGGCACAAGTATTTCTGGAAATGAATGTGAAACTGTTGTGTCTTTAGTTCTCATAATTTTTAAAACCTCATCTTCTGCTGTTCATAAATCACGTGGTTGCTAACTTTAGGTCTGGAAGGTTGAGACCACTCATATTTTTTACCTAGTAAGATGTTAATTTACAATAAATCTGCTACTAAACTGCTGGTTTCTGACGTCATCTCGTGTGGTCTTCAAAACGGGTTAGAAAATGGGAATGTTGATTATCAATTGAGAAATGACTACCAAGAAGCTTATGTCTAACAATGGGAAATAACTTATACTGTGCCTGTCTTCTCATATGAGCATGTTGGTTGCAGCAGATTTTATAAAACATTTAGAATCTGATTTAAATATTCAAAATAGTATTTTAAATATTTTTTTTTTTTTTAAATGTTAAAAACATTTTTTCTCTTTTGAATAGGAACAAAGCAGTGGAATTACTCTCTTTGCTTTTGGATTCTCCCAGAAGTTCTCTCTCTTTCCTTTGACGGTGCCTAAATGCTATTGATTTGCCAAATAGAGGAAGAGATGTATAACACAGGATGGGGGGCTCTGGTGGGGAAGGAGCTGGTCAATATTGAAGCTAAGCATATTTTGTTGGATGCTCAACTGTCAAAATAAGAAGATACATTTCTTTCAGAACGAGAAGTGCTCATTTCTTAGTTAATTATGCTTGTTCATTATTGAGTGGTCAAGCTGTATTGCCCCAGAAGTATTATAATATCTAAAAGTGGGAGAAGTCACTGATTTCAGTAGAACTAACCAACAGCCCTTAAATATGAGAGAATCTTGTATGTGTGACCTGTAGCTCTATTCTGTGACCATGTCTGAGAAAGCACTTAAGCATGCATTTAAATTCCAGACTGTGACTAATCTGGAGTGAAATTAAACATATACTGGAGTGCCTTTTCTGGATGTGCTTCTTTTCTAGATAGGCTCCTTTACTGTCAGTTTCTTTCACATGGCAAATATCTTTCTGTAATAGGAATTTGAGGACTTGAGTGGGCAGCATGATTCTGTTTCATTAATCTTTTGCAGGTAATGTTGCTGAATACTTGCAGGTATGGAGTGTGCAGTTGCTGAAAGTAGATCATTGTTCTTGCATAGCTGCCTCATTCTGCCAGTGCAAAGGTCTTAACATACGAAGTCTTGGGCAAAATGTGAAATCATGACTTCCTCCGTGTAGAATATAGCATATTTTTAGCTCACTGCCTGTTACATGCCTGGTATATCGTCCAGGCCCAGACTGAGACAGAAATCAGAACCCATTTCTAAAAAGTCAGCATGTTCTGCAGCTGAGGTCTGTATGCACTAAAGGCTGAGTCTCCAGAGGTGGCACAGAGGATTAAGTAAAATTTAAGTTGCTTAAACTCAGGCTGTCATCCCCACAGTCCTGTCCAAGGTCGAGCACTGTACAACACATGGAATCCAAAACTTCAGGACAAAAATAATATTTACAAGAGGAAAAACTTCATTGCCCATACAGGGCATGTGTCTTCCCAGGTATACCAATATGACAAAGTGATTGTCTGTCTGTAATGCAATGAAATGGATTAAAGAAACTCAGGCTAGGGAATCCTTTTGTTTCCACACATAAATGCACTAAATAGTCTCTAGCAGACAATCCCCTGTTCTTCAGCCACTATATTATCTGACTTGATGCTACCTACATAAATGTTGCATTAATTTGTGTAATGCAGTTTATACCTGTTCATTTCACCCAGTTATCTCATATACTCACAGTGAGAAGAAATTGTTACCTTCTAGATGTCAAAATGACATAAAATGATCATAACATTTTTCTTAGCTAGTACATAAACTTGCATGGGCTCCATCCCATAATGGTGGAGCTGTACTGGGAATGGGTTCATGCCTCCTGATTAGGGAAAGTCGCAGCCTAGATGAAAACTCAGTTCCATCTCCTTGCTTCTGCTTTTTTCCCCAGGTTTCCACTACTGGCAGTGGTGGCAGAGGCTTGAATGTTTTGTTTACTATGTAAGTCCAGTTCCACTGGCTCATTTTGCACAATTGACTAAATAACACGCATCTAAAAAAATAAGTTTTTAAGGTATTTTGGGGTAGATCCTAAATTTCAAGCTAGAGGAGGAAGGCTGCACATATTTTCTTGCACATTTCTTCATGCATTGTAAACTTCTTGGTCGGAACCTTTCCTTCCTTCTGACCCGACTTGGGTCAGAACTACTGTCTGAAAAATGGAGAAATGCTGAATGATAGGCTTTGAGTGGGATTTTCCACTGACAAGGATGCTGCCTGTGACTTCCAGGGAAGAGGAAGAAGCAGACCGAAGAGGAAGCAGTAACATGAAAAAAATACTATAGCAGGATGAAAGAGAGATAGTGAGGGCAAAGACAAAAGAAATTAAGTAAGACTACTGTATGGGAAGAGTGAAATAGCCCTAGGTGATCAGTTGTCTTGAAGATCAGCTACAGATTTTTCACTAGATTGATAAGGATATTTTTGTTTTCTGAAGGTTTTTAGAATCAGTTCTTTCCTAAGCAAGGGTTTGGTAGTTTGGAAGAATAGAAAACATCTGGAATTATCTTACTTATTTCCTGTGTGTTTAAAGAGTCACCACTTTGGGTGTCAGTACCAGTCAGTGTGCCAGATTCTCCTCTCAGTTTCACTGATGCAATCTTACTTGGCTGGGAATTCTCTCTGCTCCTGGTTTGCTTCTGTGTTAGTGTGTGCCTCTGTTTGTGTGCTTGTTTGTGTGTTCAGCCCGAGTCAGAACAAACATTTTAGGAATAAGAATAAGGAATGTGGAAAGTTCTGACTGTATTTGTAATGGACAGAAAACATAAAATAAGATGTTCAGCATCAAAACTTTTAGTAAAGATCCCTGTAGTTTAGGCCTTCTCCTTCCTTCACCCTTCATTATTCCTCTATGACAAAACTACAGTTTCTTCTCAACAAGATCAGGTGAAGGCAGTTGTGTAAAAAAGCGTGAGTCTGTATTTTCCCATGTTGTGTTTATAAGTGATGTTCAATTGTTCGTGATGAACCGAGCAATCATTTTTTAATTAAAATCAATACAAGATTTCTCCACCCTTTGAATGTCCTCTGCTTTCTCTTAGCTAATGCCTAGTTCCAAGTAAAAAAAAACCCAGAGCAACACAAAATAAAACCAAGCCTTTTTTGAGGTGTTCATGGCATTGAAAGTGCCCAAGACTGTGAATACAGAGATGGGCAGAAGCATTTTTCACAATAGGTCTGTTTGCTGTTTGACAGGTGGTTGTTGAAGCACTTAAAAATTTCACTGCATATCTGAAACAGCAGTAGTGGCATCATGAAATTGTTTTATGTTATGAACAGTGCTTTGTCATACTGATACTCCAGCTGAGACACGTTCTGTCATTTCTCTGGAGGATGGGTTTTCAGCTCATTTTTTAACGTAATGTTGCTGATCTTGGTGCATTCTGCAAACATATTGCACATCCAAAACATTATGTACACAGACTATCTGTACTGCAACAGACAGAGCTTTCCACATAAATTGACAGCTTCAAGCAGTAATTTTTATTGCCATTTCTTTATTAAATGCAAAGTACATAAAGGGATGAAATCTAGAGGTTTCAAATACAAGA